TGTGTGTGTGTGGAACTGGGAATTGAACTCAGGCCCTTGTGCTTGCCAGGGAAGTGCTTATTCCACTGAGTCATCTCCCCGGCCACTGGCTTTACTTTTTATAAAAAAACACAGTGTGGTTTTGGATGTCAGACCTCCAGGAAGGATCACAAGGGCCAGCCCTTCAGCCCTGCAGCAACGGAGCCTCAGAGCCCCAGCACATTCTGCATCCTGGGCTCAGCGCTCTCTGCCCCACTTGCAGCACTTGCGTGGCTGAAGTTCCCCAGGTACATGCCTGGATGCACACAGGAACACTCAATCTGCTGGAAAATACAAATTTTGGTGAAATTCTTGAGGACAAAGGCATAGGTGAGGATTTTCTGAACAGAACCCTATTTTGTGTAAGAAATAACATTCACAATCAACAATTGGGAAAAAAAAATCAACAAATGAGATTATAGTATATCAAATAAAAAAGCTTCTGCACAGCAGAGGAAATAATTAACAGAGTCAAGAGACAACCTACAAAATGGGAAAAAAAATTTGCCTGCTAATCTTTGGTCAGTGCACAAATACCTAGGATATATAAAAATCTCAAAAAAGTTAGGTCTTCTAAAATGAAAGACCTGAAATTAATAGACATTTCTCTAAAGAAATAAAAATAGCCAACAAATATGTGAAAAAAGTTCAACATCTCTGGCCATTGCAGAAATGCAAGCTAAAACAACATGGAGATTCCACCTCACTCCGGGAAGAATGGCTGTCATCAAAAAATCACCCAGTACCAAATGCCGGCAAGGGTTCAGGGGAAAGAAACTCTTCTGCGTTGTTGGTGGAAATGCAAAGCAGTACAACCATAATGGTCCTGCCAATTCTTTTCATTTTAGCCATTCAGGCAGAGATGTAAGGCCACTCTATTGTGATTTAAAATATTAAATGAATAAATGAAAATAAAGTGCTTATAAAATGTAGCATTATGTAGCGATAAACAAATGTATTTCCCAAGAAGATTTAATATACTGGGATATGCTCGCAATATGTAAAAGTGAAAATTAAGAAAACATTTTCTAAAATAAACAAAAATCCTAAAGGATATTAAGGACTGAAGAGATAGCTTAGCAGGATAAGTGCCTGCCTGGCAAGCACAAGGTACATTCAATCCCCAGTGCGCACGCACACACACACACACACACACACACACACTATTGAGTGGCTGGTATAACCACATAGAGAAATAAGAAACTGACTTTAAGGAGCTGAGGATATAGCTCAGTGGCACAGCGCCTGTTTGGCAAGTGCAAAGTTGTGAGTTCAATGCCCAGTATGAAAAAAGAAAAACAAAACAAAACAAAACAAAACAAAACTGATTTTAAGAATGTAAGTGTGGACAGAGATTTTATGAAGAAAGACCACATGGAAAATACTTCAAGGAATCAGCAAATGAGATCTCACTCTATTAAAAAGCCTTTACAAAACAAAAGAAACCACCAATGGAGTGAAAAGACAAACACACAGTGGGAAAAATTATAGTCGGTTGTTCCTCAGACAGAAGACTTACATCTAAAGCATATAAAGAATGGAAGGAATCACATCCCCAAAATTCAAAGGGCCAATCCAAAAACAGGAGATCTGAGATAAAAATACACTTCTTCGATGAAGAAATACAAACACCAAATAAACATATGAAAAAATGTTCAACATCACTGTCATGTGAGAGCTGCAAATTAAAACACTGAGATTCCATCTTACCCCAGAAAGAATGGCTATCATCAAGAAGTGAACCAATAGCAAATGCTGATGGGGCTGTGTGCTGGGGGGAGAAACCCTTCTCCACTGTTGGTGGGAGTGTAGACTGGTACAACCACTGTGGAAATCAGTGAATATTCCTTAGAAAAACTAGGATTGAAGGTCCCATTCAACCCAGTCATTCTCCTTCTGAATATCTTCCCAGACAAATTAAAACTTCCTGCCACAGCAATATACGTTTATAGCAGTATACATTTATAGCAGCACAATCTGTCATAGCTACTTTTGGAAGCATCCCATCAATTGAGGAATGGGATAAAAAAGTGTGTGTGTGTGTGTGTGTGTGTGTGTGTGTGTGTGTGATATTGGAATACTGCTGAGCCATAAAGAAGGATAAACTGGAGACTTATATAGGTCAAAGGGTGCAACTTGAGGCCATACTCATAGGTGAAATAAGTCAGTCCCATGCGTGCAAACGTTGTATTATCTCTCTAGTGGGGGAGAAGATGAATGATTCAATAAGATTTTAAAAATGCACAATAAATATTGTGGATTGGGAAAAAGCTATTTGAACAAAAAGAGAAACTAATGGGGGAAAGAGGAAAGGAAGGAAGCAAAAACAAGAACAACAATACACACACACACACACACACACACACACACACACACAAGATAGCTAAGATAGCTACACAGCTAGTTTCTTTTAGCTCATTGACAAGAAAGATCAGTGGTAATTGTCTAGACTTATTTTGCGCCCATATCTCATACTTTGAGTAACTACTCCTAAGATTACAAGGCATAATGTATTATTGTTACTCTCCTCTTAGCCTGATCTGAAACTGTTTTATTTCTATTTTTCTTCTCTTCAAAATAATATAAAAAAGAAATGGGGGGGAACTAAGCTTCAGGGAGTGTAGGAACATTGAGGGGAGAGCAGGGAGCAGCTGAGGCAATGGGGCAGATCTGGCCTTGACTTAGACCTTGAGCCCTTGACCTCTGACCCTAGCACTATAGCTTGGGGTAGGACTACTGCAGGAGAATGCAACTTTGTTTTTCTGGTGCTGAGGATTGAACTCAGGGCTTTCCACATGCTAGGCAAGCACTCCACCACTGAGTCACATCCAGGGCTTTTTTGTTAGACAGGGTCTTAGCAAATTGCCAGGGCTGGCCTCAATCCGCTTGCCTTAGCTTCCAAGTGTCTAGATAACAGGTGAGGGGCCGGGGAGATGGCTCAGTAGAATAAGCACTTCCCTGGCAAGCGCAAGGGTCTGAGCTCAATCCCTGGTTCTGCCAAAACAAACAAACAAAAAACAACAGGTGTGCACCCCGCACCTAGCCAAGGCCATGCTTGACCACAAGCTCACTCTTTTTTTATTCCACTGAGCCATCTCCCCGGTCCCTGCACAGCTCACTCTTATCAGGGCATTTCACCAGGTAGTATAGATGGCCCATTGCCCAGCAGGCAGAGGACCTTACAACTAAGAATCATGTTTTGGGGTGTAGGTTAGAGGTAGGGCCTGGCTGGGCACAGCACAGAAGGAATGGCCTGGGCATAGAAGTTAGGAAATCTGGGTTCCAAATCCTGCTTGGTGACACGGGGGTTCCTTAACATCACCATGTGCCTCAGTTTCTCCACTGCCAAATTGTGAAACCTGTTTTGCTCTCTGAGGGCGCAGGGTGGTACTGATTTGAGAGTCCACTGACCAAATGTGAGCTGGGGCAAGGGTGGGGGCCAGGAACCCTCCAGTGAGCAAAAGCCCCTGAGGAGTGGTGATATGGCTCAGCCTCGGTATAGGCAGCTCCATCAGCAGGGACACACACAGGGACTCAAGTGAGCTAGCGGAGCTGGGATCTGAGGGAGGTCAGGGCAGGAGAGGAAATCCTGGCAGGCAGGGCTGTTGCCTTGCTCCACACAACCCCCTGGGGAGAGAAGTCCTTTCATCCCCATCTGCCATCCAGCAACAGTACAGTAATAAGAACAGTAAGAAGCCAAGCGTGGCGGTACATGTAATCCCTGCTACATGGGAGGCTGAGGCAGGAAGATTGTAAATTTGAGGGTACCCTGGACATGTAGTGACAATTTGTCTCAGAATAAAAGGGGGGAGGAATGTAGCTTAAAGATAAAGCATCGCTGGGTTTGGGTCCCCAGTAAGCCCTCAACCCATGAAGAGTAATAGTCATAAAATGATAGCTCATTTATTGAGGGCTTACCTCCTGTTAATCTATCTTCTAAGTACTATCTGCATTTATTTTCTGCCTTCTTTTTCCTTATTCCCATGTGGTGAAAGGCTTCTGCTTTCTTATGCTGCAGAACTAATTCTTTTTTTTTTTTCTTTCTTTCTTTCTTTCTTTTTTTTTTTTGTGCGAAGCTTTGTTCCAGAGGGACTCAGTCCTTCTTGGCAGCTGCCTTCCTCATGGCGGCCAGCATGTTGCTCAGTTCCTCACGCTTCCTCTTGGCCCGGATGTGCATCCCCGACCTTTTCTTGATGAACTTGAGGGCGCACTTGTCTTTGGAGACCTTGAGCAGCTCCATGGCGCACCAATCGGAGGGGATGAAGCCGCACACCTCCTGGATCATGTCCCACACGAACTTGGTGTGTTTGGTGAGACTTCTGTGACGGCGGCTGTGCCTCGGCTTGCTCACATTCTTAGTCACCTTGTGGCTCTCATTGAGGTCCACGGCCGTGAGACAGCGGAGGACCACGGCTATGATTCTTCAATGGTTGCTGTGGCGGAAGGACCAGCACTGCACGGGAACCCTGCAGAACTAATTCTGA